TGGACCGTATAGTTGGCGAACATTGACCCAAATTTAATAAAAACCACCTTATTTTTACCCGGGAAGTTGAAATTTTTTAAAATATATTTTACATTTTTTCCTGCTATTTTAAATTATCATTTTTTAAATAGTCCCACTAGTGCCGAAGAGCTGTAGAGTGGGGATGACATGGCGAAGAGGGGAAGGTGACTTGTCCCCTGTTTTTGGCTTGACAATACCTGCTGGTATCATACCTTACTGTCGTCACACGCATGCGCCTCCCTCCCGCGGCCGAAAGGTGAAAATCAAATTTGAGAGGGATACAAATTTTCGCGCTAAAAAAATTGTAAGAAAAAAAATAATATTAAAAAAAAAATATATATATAGTAGGATATGTATATTTATGGAATTATAATGATTAAGGAGGAATCTCATTAATTTGCTTTCTAACGTTCACCAAAAAAAACGACATTAGGCCGTCGTCCGGTTCGTAAGAGTTAGTTACACCAAGCGTCCGCTTGGCGTGGTGGTGGCGCTGGTTACCCAAAATACGGAGAGATGCACCCCCAACCGCCACGAGGGTCTCCATTCACGTTAGTTCCCGCCGATCCGTCGACCGATGAAGACCGTAAAACGATATTACAGCCAGTAATCGTAAAAATTCATCCACAAAGCGGAAAATTTAACTGTCTTCCTTATTTAACCAGTCATTGATACTAAGGTAAGAACCATTAAATACGATATATACTAAAAATTTATAGTTTAGATAAATTAAAACTGAGGTAAAGCCGATGTAACTAAAAACTATTAAATTGCCACCGTTTTTCAGCCGAGGGCGAATAAGGAGAATTCCATCGCCGTCACTGTTAGCCAGGAATCACCTCCAGAAACCGAGCAACAAGTGATCAGAACGTGTGTCGCTGAGTTTTGTTGCTTGATAATTATCTGCAACATATAATAACAATGGTACTAGTAAGGGATCATGAGATCGTCAACGAGTTCCGGACGTGTCTCGAGTGGCTGAAGGATAGGCATGATACCTGGGCTATTGGTGAATTGACAGCAATGGCAATAAAGCTTGTCAACGAGTATTCTGCTGAGATGGTCGTAGGTCTCCAACAACATATCGCTCAGGTCCCCCAGGAATTGAAACTTGCAGGACTGTACCTGCTCGATTCAATTATCGGAAACGCAAGTCACATATACGTCGATCTGTTTGCCGAACAATTGGTAAATACCTTCAGCTCTGTATTCGTATTTGCTGATAGCGAAATGAGAGCTTTGATGTTTACCCTTCGGAAGCGTTGGCGAAAATATTTCTCGGCGGCTGTTTTGCATGATTTGGATTGTGCCATTAAAAGCGTCGATAACAATTGGCCGATCTTCGCACACTCGTCGCCATCTTCAAACAATTCTGGCTCTTCAAGTACTTCACCGACCAATACACCCGCTTACAGAAGATCCCCGTAATGATACTGCAGCAACTTCACTGATGCATCATCCAACTAACGGTATGAAGCAGTGACAAGGAGATATTTTCTTTCCACGCATGATCAATGGCGATAAGTCTTCTGTAAATACAATGCGATCAAGAGCAATTGTATCAAATGTGGTCGTTCCGCAAAAAACAGCTCAGAAAATATCTAGCGATGGCTTTCCATCAGATCTGTCGATCTTAAACATTTTTGGTGAGGATTCATGCTCACTCATTGGTGGTAAAACAAACCCGTCGGATTTTTTCGAGGAAGAAGATGCCAAGAAAGGCCAAACTGAAATTTCCAGCCATGGGAAGACATGTGAAGATATTTAGTGATTACGGTAACCAGTGATAATAACTGTATGGAACAATAATGGACATTTTTTTACAATATCTCGATGGTTTTTTCCCAATCTAGAATGCGAATTCTTAGAGTTAAACAGTGAACATTAAAACACCAATAAACTGTGATAAGCTACTCACATAATGTAACACAAAAAATATTTTTTTACATTTTTCAAGCTGTGATTTTTTAAATGACAAATGCAGTTTATAGGATTATTTTTTTGATATTACGGAACCACAAATATGTTAGAAATAGAATTAACTTTGCCAATAGCAACCGAAGAATGGACCGGGATGAGTAAATCGAGAGTTGTAACACGGTGCAGCTATCCCATTCCTGTATGTATGGATGAGGGTTGGAATCATTATACCAATTAGATAATATCCAGAAGCAAGCAAAAAGATTAATAGAAACACTTGTTTCATTGTTTCCTTCCAATGTAAGCTAGAAGAAAAATTATCCGGAATTATTGTAAAGAAATAGTAATAAATGGACATGGATTATTTTCTAAATTTGAAGAGAACTCGCTTATTTAGACGTATTTGCCCTTCTTCCAGTCTACCCATATCATCTTTCAGAAGATGAATCCTAGTTCCTTTATCCTAATTCTCGATATATCTCTGCCAATTGATCGATTCAACATCGAATAAAAAAAGGCTTTTATCATTGTCACTCAACTCGTTGTTAAGTTCTCTGACGTTATAATCATTGATTGCAAATTTTCAATGGAGAAATGAAAAGAACGACTTCCAAACTCGATCTGCTGATTGCTGCAGGCCGAGCATCGTGAAATCTCCAGCAATTAAGAGGTAATAATAATTGCATACACGTAATAATAATTTGTAAATATCGTGTATGGATATCACAAGATTTTTCTATAAGGATGACTTCTTGAATAAACGTTACGCTCCTTCAGGAATCGCCGGCAGGAGATTGGATTGCATTTTTCTCATCCATAATTGTAAATTTTTGTTTCACTGCTAAGAATTGAATGTGTCACTTATATTTGTCATAATAGAGAGTAGACACCAATTGCAAAGGGCATTGTTGCACCGACTT